ACTCAACGGTGGCTTCGACATACTGGAGACACACTGAGCACAACTTGCCTCGTCTGCTCTCTTGGTTTGAAAATAAGCCCCTTGAGGACAAGGCCTGGGGACTTACACTGAGATACTTTGCATCCTTTCAGCTCAGTGTGGGGCCTCGGCCGCAGCTCAGGACCTGTTGGCTCAATGAGAGAACTGGATTAATGAATCCATCCACAACAGCTTTCTCAGATGTTTCAAACAAACCTAGTCACACATGACTAGCTTCTGAAAAGGGGTGGGGGGGTTAGAGTCTGCGTTGGTTAATTTTAATTGTCAGTTTAACACAATTTAGAGCCACCTCCTAGGGTGAGAGTCTCAAAGAGGGATTGTGTAAAACAGCTGGTCCCTGGGCGTGTCTATAAGAGATTATCTCAGTTTTCTTAAGTTAATTGAAGTCGGAGTATCTGCTCACTGTGAGTGGCACTATTCCCTAGTAAGGGATTCTCAATTGGAAAGTAAACTAAGCACGGTATGCAAGCATTAATGCGTTCTTCTCTGATCTTGATTGTGGATACTGGGACCAGTTGTTTCAAGTATCCACCCTGCCACCTCACTTCCCTCAATGATGGACCAGAACCTGGAATTGTAAACCAAATAAACCCTTTCTCCCCTGAGTTGCTTTTGTCAGAGTGTTTTACCACAGCGGCAGGAAACAAGACTAAGACAGAGTCCCACATCTCGAGACAGAGCCAGAATCCCAAGCACTGAAACTTTACCTTTAGACTTCCCAGCGTCTCCCATGAGATTTAATATGCATACTTCGGTGTGTACAACATACGGAATGGGAAGAAATAGATGTGAAAATATTCTTATCGGGCATGTGTAAGAAGAGAATGGACATCGTGCAGAATCCAAGTTCCTCCTGGCCACCACCATCAAAATCCACTTGTCCCGGAAGCCCCTCAAGTTGACTTATATCCAGGAAACGTCATGTTGTGTTTATCTATATAGTTGTCACCCCCATGTGACTTAGTAGAAGGACCAGGATTTCTGGTTTTGTCCTCATGAGTTGAACACAAGGCGCTGGGAAGATGAGTCAGTAAAGCTTGCCCTGAAAACGTGACAATTTGAGCCTGGATCCCAGCACCCACAGGAAAGAAAAGACAGACACAGAGACATGCACCTGGAACCCCAGTACTGGAAAGGCAGGGTCAGGAGAATCTCTGAGACTTTAGGCCAGTTTAGGCCGTTGATGAGCTCCAGGTTCAGTAGGAGAGCCTATCTCAAGAAATAGTAATAATAATAAGAATAACAACAACAACAATAATAATGTGATAAGCATTTGAATAAGGCATCCAGCATCAACCTCTAGCCTCCACACACTCATGTATGTACACACATGAGCACACACACACACACACACACACACACACACACACACACGAAGAGTCTACCACACAGACTTATCTAATTGAATATTTAATATGTTTCAGGTGGTCTGGGTATAATTACTTTATCTCATGTCATACTGCAGCAATCTGAGATTATTATCCTAACTGTATAGAGATACTAATTTGTTTGTTTGTTTGTTTCCTAAAATCTGGTCTCTATACATAGCCCTCACTGTCCTGGAGCTCCCTATGTAGACCAGGCTGGCCTCAAACTCACAGAGATCTGCCTGCCTCTGGCCCCTACTCTCCAAGTGCTGGGGTTAAATATGTGTGTCACTATGCTTGTTGAAATTAATTATTAATAGACATAAAGTGACCCAAATAATCTACAAAAAGCCAAGAGTTAAGCACAGTTTTGAGGAACATCAAAATCCAACTTCCATGGGCCATTGTACTATCCTAGCTCTCCAGTGTGAGCCATTTTGCTCAAAGAACAATGGATGAGCCACCATAATTCCTTATAAGAGAAGCCGGGATGGAGACACGCCTAAGAAAATTATAAGAAAAGTGATCAATTTGACTAGATGCAGCAGATGCTATTAAAATCTAATCACAGATAAAAATAATGGCAGGAAGCATAACTATGTGAGAATAGCCAAAATTAAAAATAAAATAAAACTGAGTGTTAGTCCTTTAAAGCAGAGGAAAAAAAACATACATACCATATAGTGTATAGGAAAAAAAGCATGAATCAACGTATATAAAATACAAAGATATGTTAGTAATGGTGGAGCAGTATAGGCATATTTTATGTTTCACTGAAATAACAAAATAATATGAAGCTTCCATCAAGACAAAGGAAAAAATTCAAGCTACGTTATTAATATATTTTACTTTCAGAGAGAAAAGGACCCAGTCGGGACCCACAAGTCAGAACTGTAGGACCCTTTCTTCTAACCCAGCTAACTCCATGACCTTGGGCACATCTCTGAAGCCCAAGCTAGCAGTCCGTGAACTTGGGATAAATTAAAAAGAGCAGAGTGGTTTGTTGACAGCCACATGCTTCCTTTCTCATGTGCATCTTGAATGGTCCTATCACAGAAACCATGGTCCACAGCAGAGCCCAGAGACTGCATCCCAGCACCCATGGCCACAGCTCACCTGCATGAAATATATGCAGGTGTAATTGAGTTTCTCTGGAATGGGACATTGGCTGGCTAGTGTGCTCACTAAGATGATTCACACATGAGTGTGGTGCATGGTGAGGACCTTTTAAAACAGGGCTTCATATATGATGTGTGCTTTTTCCGTTTGTTAAATATATGACACATAGAATTTTATTTGGTGCTCCAGTGCATGCAAATTTTTTGGCTTCTTGTATTATTTACTTTGTGCTTGAGTGAATTTGCAAAACATATAAAGTACCCAAAAATAGCTTCTGCATCCCCTCGAAAGGCACTGGATGTTTGAACTTGCCCAGAGGCTGATAAGGGACTCAGCACAGAAGCAGCTGAGAATCGAATGAATGCCTCAGTCCTGGGATCAGTCCAAAGATGGACTGCAGAATGTGGAGATCTCTTTGCATCTGCCCCGTTCCCACCTGCAACCTCTACCTTCGACGACTGGACTCCTTCTCAGCATGGCAGGAAGAGAGAAAAGAAAGAAATGGAAAGTGCTATTGATTAGCTTTGCTTCATGTCCACGGTGGGGAAAAAAACATTTAAGAAGGAAAGAAAGATGAAAGTCCTAAATAAATTAAGATTTGCAGGTGGCTGGAGATTTGAGCTACCTATGCAGCTCCAGACACTGGCGGCCAAAGCTTTATTATAAAATAATAACTGAGACACCATGATCCACACACTCCTTTGTTCATGGTTCCTGCTTGCTATGAAGGTATAATGCCAACCGAACTATTTTTGCATCACTGTGATCAAAACAGCTAACAAAAACAACCTGGAGTGGGGGAGGTTTCCCAGGGACTTCAGTCCATCCTGGGGAAGACAGGACAGAGGGAACACAGACAACAGCTGTTCACATAATTGTGGACCAGGAAGCAGAGAGACCAGGACCTTAGCCAGGGATAGAATCTTCAAAAGTCTGCCTCTGATGGCCTAGCCCTACCAGCTGGTCCCCATTTCCTAAAGACCCTGGAGCTTTCAAAACAGTGTGGCGAGCAGGGACCAACTACTTAAAACCTGAGCCCATGGGAGACTTTTCAGATTCAAACCGTAACACAGGCTATGTTCATATTCCTGTTTTAATATTCATTTTCATAGGAATAGAAACACTCACTGGCAGTTAAGAGTATTTGTGAAGGGCTCACAGCTAAGAAGTTATCCTGGGTCTTAGAAGAGGCTTTGGCTTTTGAACAATGTTAAAATTTCAGAGACTTTTAAAGATGGAAATGCATTTTGCATATTAAAATGAACATGAGGCTTTAGGGTCCAGGGATAGAATGTTCTCATTTACAAATGATGTGTTTGGTTGTCATAGTGGCAAGGGGTGGACTTGTAATGGTTAATCAAAATTGTCAACTAGATGGAATCTAGAATCATCATGAAAACAGACCTCTAGAAACATCTATGATAATATTTCCAGAAAGGCTTAATGTAGAAGGGAAGACCCATTTAAATGTGAGTGGCACCATCCCATGGGAGAGGGTCATGGGCCAAATGAAAATGGGGGAGTGAGCATTTCTCTCTCTCTCTCTCTCTCTCTCTCTCTCTCTCTCTCTCTCTCTCCCTCTCTCTCTCTCTCTCCTTCCTGCCTACAGATGCACTATGATCAGCTTCCTCAAGCCCTGCCACCACACTTTCCATCCCATAAGAGACAGACTGTCCCTTCAAACTGAGTCTGAATAAACCCTGTCCTCCTTCATTAAAAAAATTTTTTTAAGGGGCTGGAGATATGGCTCAGTGTTTAAGAGCACTGGCTTGCTCTTCCAGAGGTCCTGAGTTCAATTCCCAGCACCCACATGGTGGCTCACAACCATCCATTATGAGATCTGGTGCCCTCTTCTGGCAGGCAGGCAGACATACAGGGAAAACACTGTATACATAATAAATAAACCTTCATTTAAAAAAAAAAATTTAAGTTTGTTAATGCACATTACAGTGGTCTCTGTTAAACTAGTATTTCTCCTGATGCTCTCCTGGTAGGTAACTAACCTAAAACACACTCAGCTTTAGGTCTGGACATCTGGATTGTTCATTCACTATGGCCCTATTATTTTATTTATCCAGCAGGTTCATGTGCCGGGCAGTATATCTCCCACACTGAACAGTGATTTTTATACCCAGCTGGAAGGGACATACCTCAAACACTAAAGAGGAGCATTAAAGCCAAGGACCTTCCCCTGTTACAAGGATGAGCAGGTTAACTCCATAGCCAAAGCTAGAAATGAGTCAACGAGATGATTCCAACAGTTGGAGCTCAAAGGGCCATGTGGTCTAGCAGAAGGGTCAGTAACCTGGAAACAACTTGAATTTGACAGCATTTAAAAAAAAAAAAAAAAGCTGGGCCACTTTTCTACCTTAACTTCTTAGTAAAATCAGATGATTCTGTTTACATTTTACTTTTAGTGAATATTTACCCAGCATGTGTTAAGGACAAAGTGATCTGTTAGTTGGTAGCAGGGATTTAGAAAATGTACGGAAAGTGCTCAGGGAAGTGTATACAGTACTCTTATTATGTAAATTGTTTTGATAGTTAATGTTGCCAGAACATTCTATGCCATCTAAAGCCATGAAGAATGGATCCTGTGTGGCAGGAGGAAACAAATCATCATAGCAGAGAGTCAGAGAAAACTATGGGGAGTCTTATTCGTGATGGCCGCAGAAGACGGTGACTTGTCTCAGTCACACAGAGCAGGTGCCAGGAGTCCAGAACCAAGTCCAGAGGCTCAACGCAAAGGAAGAATAGAACACTCGAAGCACCTTTGCATGAAGGAACTTGAGGGCCTTCAAAGCTGTCCTGCATCTTCACGGAACCTTTTTAGAGATGTGACTTGAATTTTCCAATGGTCCAATGGACTGTGAGGGGAGAGAGTATGATGGAGTGCGTCCTACGGCTCTGGTTGTGACCCTCCTTTCCACTAGCTTGGTCAGGGCAAGATGGAGTTCTACAGCCTTGGTCATGACCCTGCTGTCTGATGGCCTGGTCAGTAGGACGAGGACAGGCCCCTCCATCCTTCTTTTTGTCCCTGGAGTCTTCATCTGATGTTCAGGGTCTTCTGCTTGAGGGAGCTCTGCCACTTCCAATGTGGGACTGTAAGAGAAGTGCCCGTTTCTCCAACTGTGGAAAAAAAAAACTTGTTGCCTCCTGCATATAAACGTGATAAGAATATTTTTCAAATTTTTGTGCTTTGTGCATTCTGTTTTTGCAAGTATGCAGGTGTGTGCGTGTGTGTGTGTGTGTGTGTGTGTGTGTGTGTGTGTGTGTGTGTGTGCAATGTGGAGGCCAGAGGCTGGTCCTCAACACCAGTTGAGGATCATCTTTCCTCACACTTGCATGTTATTCATGGAAGCAGAGAATTCCAAGCAAATACCAAGTGCACCACCACTGTGGCCAGCCTCACTAGCCAGAGCTTACCCTGTAGATCCCCCCTCTCTGCCTTCTCAGGCTAGAATCACCTGGCACGTATGTGGGATTCTGGAGATTTAAACTCGGGTGCTCACACTTGCTCAGCAGCCCTTATACCACTGAGTCACCTCTCCAGCCCCAAGAGCTTTTTGGTGTGAATAAACTATTCACACCTGGGCATATAGAAATATTTGGCTAGTGATAATTACAATTACTGGCTATTGCCTGGTTCTAAACATTTATAATCAAAACATGAAGCAGCGACAATTCTTAAATCAGATCTTAGTTAGCTTATACAAAGGTACAACCCAAACCAGGTTGTCCTTTGCAGTGAAACTGAATGTAGACAATGGATTTAAGGACTCTCTATATAAACCTATATTCCTACAGGTTCAACCAGGAGTTCCAAACGTCCTCAGTGAAGGCTGTCTCTCACCTCACATTACTGCTCAGCTTGTAATCACAGGTGGACTGTTGAAGTTCTTGGGTCAGCAAGGAACTTACATACCATTCCCCATTCTCAGCCACTTTTCCCATAGGAGTTTAGGTCCTCATGTTCTATGTCCTACTTTGTTTTTTGTTGCTGGGGGTGGGGAGGAAACTCTGACCAAAAACAGGTTGGAGGAGGAAATGATTTATTTCAGTTTATACTTCAGGTAACAATCTATCACTGGGGGAATAGGAACTAAAGCAAAGACTGTGGAGTAACTGTGCTAACTCTCTTTCTCTCTGGCTCATACTCAGCTAGTTATCCTTTACAGCCCAAACCCACCTGCCTTGAGATGGTGCCACCCAGAGTGGGTCAGACCTTCCACATCAATCACCAATCAAAACAATCCCTCACAAATATGGCTGTGGGCCAGTCTGATCTAGGCTTTCTTTTTTTCTATTGCTCTTCCCAGGGAGTTCTACATTGTGTCAAATTGACAATAAAAGCTAATGAGTACAATCCATTCTTTGTCAATTTTACAAATACATCGCTGTTAAACCATAACCTTTCCTTTCTTGTTTGTCCCCCAAATTTCATGTCAATGTCATAAAATAAAAAGACAGTGTAGCTTTTAAAATCCCCACAGTCCTTAAAATTTTCAAATGATTTAAAAGTTAAATGTCTTTCTAAAAATCAAATGTCTCCATAACTGTGGGCTCCTCTAAAATAAAAAATCAATTACATACTTAAATATTCTAAAATGGAAAGAACCAGTGACTCTTCTTTCTATCACACACCCTCCCTCCTTCCTACAGATCATGTTCATAACCATATCAGAGGAAAAAGAGAAAGACAGAGAGAGAGAATTGATTGTTTCTAAATATACCAATTCCTTAGCTCAAGGAAGAGGATCTTGGAGTGGAAAAAAAAAAGAAATCTTCTGAGTTTTGTAGGATTAGTGAGACCAGAAACCACCCTCTCTCCTACACACATACAGTGCTGCAGCAGGATGTCAGTGAGAAGCAGCCTTCACAAGGCACCCCACGGGCACAGAAGCTAAGAAAGCCAGCCTGGGAGCTCTGGCTCCCGTCATGAGCTGACCCATTTTCTGTGGGGAAGCCTGGAAAACTGCCTCCTCTTCAGGAATCTGGGATGGATCAAAGTTGCAGTACTTGGATTGTATTGGACTCCCCAATGCCTGGGGTTGTTCAACCACAGACAGAACAGAGTTGGATCCTGGGATCGACAAGCAAGGCACAGTCATTACCCTTCTGGAACTTTCCAGTCTAGTTCAGAGATAGCAAGTGGGTAATTAGAATGACAAGTCTGGAGTGTCACAGTGGACTCTGGGAGACCTAAGAACTCAGGACAGGCTTCCAGAACATGACTGCTAAGTAAAAACTGAAAGTAGCAAATGGCGGTACCCAAGCCCATCATCCTTGTTCTTTGTTTAACATAACCTTGACCCCTTTCATGTTACTTGGACAGAAAAGACCTGGCTAGGGACAAAGCCATTCAGAGGGACTTTTCACAGACAGAAGGGTCATCTTGGGGTTTCCCTGCTCCTTCACTGTTCAATGATTCTACTTCTCAACAAATCATAAGCTAAGAAACTGACTCTCAAAGGCTGAGACCACACGAGGAGCTCAGTGCTCCTTTCTCATCCAGGATGGCCTTCTGTGTGTGGATTAGGGAAGCAGGGTGAGCACCAGCCAATCTGGCTTCGGTTCCCTTTATGGCCTCATGTGGTTACCTGTGCCTCTTACAGCCCATCAACCCCGTTGTGGCCCCTTGCCAGAGTTCCACATCCCCCACCAGGGACCCCAGATATTGCCATCATAGTTTTAGACTGTGGAGGGAGAAAGTGTGTGTTGGGGGAACACAAACAGGCTCCTTCTAGCCCTTGTCCCCGAGCTGGATCCGAGTCCTCGGAACACTCTCCAACACTGTAAATTTGTAAGGGACAGGTGGCTGTGACTGTCTTGCAAAGTGCAAAGCTGGGGACTCTGAAACTGTGAACTGAGCTGCCAAGGACCACAGAGCTGGTAAGAAAGGTGCAGAGCTTCAGGCAAGCTCTCTCCCACTTGGACCCATTGCAGAGGACTCGCTTGCCCACTGAGCTAGAGTGTGTGGGCTCAATGGACACACTGTAAAAGAAGAAACTCAAAGGCTGTGATTTTTAGAGCAAGATACTCTCTATCCACACATTGAAGTATAAGAGCAATTATGGTGCTTACCAATCCAAGGGAGTTTGTGGGGTAGAGCTAGAAATTAAGTAAATAGTGGTAGAAGGATGTGGGAGCTCATTTTCAGGTTCCTCGTGGCTTTACCCAGCCGGTCCACATAGAAAGGATGATCAGGACCACCGGCCTGAGTGCAGGTGTCTGAGATAGTCTGCACTTGGCTGTGCTGGGGGAGGAGGTCTTTTGCTCCACCCCTTGGCGTCTCTATAAAAACCCTGGGGCAGAGACAGTCGGGGCCCGTTGGAATAGGTTCCAGGCCCTCTCGAGGCTATCCTTTATTTTCTATCTGTTTATCTCTGCAACATAAATCCTTCTACCTAATATTTCCTGCTGCTCGTACTCAAGAAAACTGGGGAGCTGTGGGGTTGGTGGGTAAACGCCCCCCAGAAGAGTTGAAGAGATGGCTTGGTCTGGAAAGCCATCGCTGCTTACACATGAGAACCTGAGTTTGGACCTCCAGAACCCATGTAAAAACTCAAACATGGAAGCATGGACCTCTAAACTCAACACTGGGGAGCCATAGACAAGACTTGCTCATCAATCCATCTAGCCAATCAGTGAGCTCCAAGTTTAGTGGAAGATCTTGTCACAAAAAAAATAAATAAATAAATAAAGTGTAGGGTTGCTACTGAATCAACACACCATCCTAGAACATGGAAGTAAGGGGGGTGGGCATCTTCCAAATCTTCAGTTTTCACTTCTAACAGCTGAGGCGGCAGATACCACGGGCAGCTGCCCCTACTGACCCCAAGATGGACAACTTGTCTGATGAACAGAACAGCACCATGGAGATCATGGAAGAGCTCATATCCACACAGAGTTACAGATTGGTCTTCGCCTTCCAGCATCGTGAACCAAGCGGTGTGTCCCACTATTAACAAAGTCTACAACTGCTATATGAAGTCTCCTCCAGGTCAAAGATGCTTCAGGTCATGACTCCTAGGGGACCCTTGGGAGTCCCAGCTAATAACCTGGCCTGGACTTCAGCCAAAGCATCCCTCCCCCACACCTTTCCCTTGCAGCAGTCCCAAAGTCAGCAAGACAGCTCCACGGGTAAAGGCACTTGCGGCCAAGCATGATGATGCAAGTTCGATCCCATATGAACCCATGTGGTAGGAGAGAACCAACTCTCATAAGCTGTCTTCTTTCTTCCATATGTGTAGTCACATGAACCTCACCCCCGCAGAATCATTAAATAAGTGCAATACAAAATGAAATGCAAGGTGTATAGTGATTGAGGAAGACACCTGATAGCCATTTCTAGTCTTGATAGTAGTGGAAGACAAAAACTTGAAACATTTGGTTGATACATAAATTCTGCTTCCGTGTTTGGCACATTATTGACAGCACAGCTCGTCAGATGAATAAATCTATTAAACACACGTCTCTGGCACCGACGGGATGGCTGCACAGTCACTTTGGCTAAGGTTGTGAGGTAACCATGGCAACAAAACAAACACACAAACTCATGAAAGCAGCTCTCTTCTTCTGACCTTCTGGTCGGGCTTCCCAAGCAGGGTATCTATCATCCATGCGATCCCTTCCATCGAGTACCACCCACACCTGAAGTTCCCCTGTCCACCTATTTGAAACACATGACTCAAGAATCAAATATCCTTACTAATTACAAACGTGTTATTACACCACTAGTGATCTCGGTGGGTCTGTAATCCACGGAGGACTTATTTACAATTATCTCCTTTTCTTGAGTTCTAAATGGAGGCTCAGAGAGAAGTTTACTATGTGTTTCCCTTTGTCAGCCTTTAATCTTTAGCTCTGATGTGTATCATAATAACCTATTGTGTGAATGGTCCTACCCCAACCAGTGTGTGTGTGTGTGTGTGTGTGTGTGTGTGTGTGTGTGTGTGTGTGTGTGTTGTAGGGCTCATGGATTTATTAGAGAAATACATTCAGAAGCAAAGGGTACATTTTTAATTTCCAAGGCTGGTAGAGTACCATATTCTTCTATACGTACACTCAGATTTGTGCAGCTTCTCCACTGGGAGAAAGTTCCAGAAGCGGCATGCAAAGTCATACCAGCTGCTGAAGAGGAAGCAGCCTGGGCCTGGAAACACGCTATAACTAGGCTAACGTCAACCCGATAAGATATTGTGAGTGGAAATCTACCATCCCCACCTTACACATCTGAATCCCATTTTTTTTAAATGTGCTTTTTATTTTGGGCCCCAGGCTAATCTGCATCTCCCAGGCCACATTTAATTCTGGGTGGGAAGGAGAGAAGAAACGGGTCACTTGCCCACGAGCCCCCGTAGCCCTGGGCCTCAGAGCTGTGTTGTCGCGTTAAGAAGGCAGGCATTGGAACTACCTGAAGCACCGGAGTATTCCAGATCGTTCTACAGGATAACACTTTATGAGCTTTAAAAAAAAAAGAAAGAAAGGAAGGAAGGAAGGAAGGAAGGAAGGAAGGAAGAAAGAAAGAAAGAAAGAAAGAAAGAAAGAAAGAAAGAAAGAAAGAAAGAAAGAAAGAAAGAAAGAAAGAAAAAGGAAATCAAAAAAAAACCTCAAATCAGTCCAGGTTTGGACGCTCGATTTACTTTTTATTGGCAACTAAAACTCATCTTGTACTTAGGAACATTTTGAAATTTGTCCCTGTAATGTTTTCAATTAGCTTTCTTGCATGTGATACATCGGCGGGGGGGGGGGGGACATTTAGATTTAGAACGAAGGTACTCCCAGAGACAAATATGATTAATGGGATAATCTTGTAGATTACAATAGTTGGAGGCAGTTCCTGCAATTCCCTGCTCTCCAAGGACCGGGACTGCACACTCCAATACAAACAGCTGCACATTCCTCAATACCGTTATTATCTAACGCAAGGCCACGTTCCGCATCTTAAAATTCCTATAAGATCCACATTTGGCTGTGTCCTATTGTGCAAGTTCAGTTTCCGAAGTTAAAGCTTCAAGCTCCGTGGGACGACTTGATAGAGTTTACAAACGGGATTGATTTTCTAAAGAACCATTAAAGGTTGCTTACTGAGGAACGGAACAAAGAGTGCCCAACAAGCACAACAGCTTTTATGCAGCATATTGAAAACATAAAGGGCAGCCCTGTCATCTGCCAGTCAGGTCCCCGGAGTCCCCCCAGGGGCAGGTGGATGTTTTTATTCCTGGTTTACAGGGAAGGAGCAACCTCAGAAACCGTCAAGAGACTTGCCCCGACTTGGAAGCACGGAGGCTGGAGTGCCTTGTAAGCATGCCAGGCTCCGGGTCTCTGAGGCGCATGCTCAGCTCACCAAGCCAGTGGCTCTTCTCTAGGACCAAGTTCTCAACCGACTGTGAAGAAGGTACAAACTCCCCATAGCCAAAGAGCGCGCAAGCTGTAGTGCTATTGGTTGGGATTTGACTAAAACCCTTTGGTTTTCTCTCTACTGTAGGGACGAAGCCTTTGAAAAATCCTTGTTCAGCTTCTTCAACATCTGCAACTCTCTTTTTATTGTACGCGGCTCTTTTCCCGCGCTAGGATATTTTCCTCGTTGGTGACATTCGCGGCTTCACCCACTAACAGCATTCTCATCTCTAAGCAAAGATGCTTCCTGTTTCCTATCTTCGGCCTTTCCAAACTTGTTCCACCTGCCCAGAAGTTTTCATCCTGATAACATTTCTCTGCAAATGGTCTCAGACGGTCACAACACAAAGACCTCCCTATCAAACTGTAAACTCCCCCAAAATTTTCACTCTCCTTCCTGGTTGACTGCATCTCTCCAAAGCGAAATGAGATTCTTGCCCATCTGAAAGTCAGTATCTTGAAGCAGTTTTCTCTAGCAAAGCCAGAAAAAAAAAATAATAAACTGTGAGATCTAAATGCCTGCTGACAATTCCTAGGCAGTGTATCTGTCACCCACCAGCCTTTAAAGTACAGGGCTGTTTCTCACGAAGTTCAGGTGTGCAACAGGTGGAGGGTGATGGGTAGGTAGAGGGAGTCCCCTGCCTCCTGAAATGACCCCATGCTCTAGATGATGCATGTATGAGGAGGGACACTTTTTAA